AAAATCTATTTATTTCACGTGGTTCTATCAATGAGGAAGTGTGTTACGATTTGCGGAGCAAATGGTTACACGCTAGTTTATATAAAATGAATAAAACAATTCAAGAATACCTCTAAATTAGTTATTCATATTTCGTATATTGATACAAATAAATGAAAACCAGTATCCAAATCTATCCAAAATGTCCCGAGATTATTTGATAATATATAAACAAACATTAAATTCGATACATATAGAAATTACTTATCACTGTTTGTTATGTTGGCTACAGTGCACAAATAGAACGAATATTCTCTGGAACAGATTTGGTAGTACAACGAATATGCAGTTTAAAAAGTAAGAATTTTCACAGAAACTGGCCGAAATCTGGGTTTATTATTGTAGATTAAAGAGTTAACAATAATTTTTACAATGTTATTATTATTAATGTATTCTCTGGTTATTATAAAAATAGATATATAATCATTCCTAAATTTAATAACTTATCACACACACATATATATGTGGTCAAGTTCGCGAGCCAACTAGGCTCATGCAGAGCATTAATTTTAACCACGAGTTAAACAAGGCACATGCAGAAGCCACATATTTTTAGTAATACATAAAAATTTATTAGATTGTAAAAGATGGTGTGAAGGGTGAGAAGTAAATATTGGATACATGGAGATGACGGAATTAGCCCAGCTGCAAGCATTAAAGGTGTGTTACAGGTGGAGTATGGTTGAAGTTAGATTGGAATAGAGATTGTAATAGTTGTCTAGTTTGTGTAATTTTGGAGGATGTGTACCAATTTGAGTTTTTAAAGATTATTGAAATTGAGTCCAAATTAGAGTTAGCTTGGCAGAAAAATAGGTGAATGGTATTTTCAGGTGATTGGTTGCAATAGAGACAATCAAGGTTGGGTGGGATTTGTGTTGAATGGTTACATATTAAGTTTTTTGTGGAGAACTTCAAATTTGAACGAGAATAATGAACCATGATAAAATTGTGGATTATTTTCATGAACATTGAATAATAGGAGAATCTTAACAAATTCTTTTATAAAGACATATCTCATTTTCGGCCATTCCGTACTTATACTCGTCAGTAAATTAACGGAATTTCACTTAGTATTAGTAAGCTAGCTTTAGTATTAGATACAACACTAAAATTCAAGCCTTTAGAAAAGCATCCGGAAATAAAGTAGCAGTTCTTATTCAACAAAAGAAATTTGGAAATTGAGGAGGAAAGAACAAAATAAATCTGCGAACGAAATTGTAGAAGCAAAAAATAAATTGGAGTTAGTACTATTTAAAATTCATACGGATCTAGGGAATGTAATGAACGATTATTTCGTGCTGACGATAGATGTAATATACAAAAAGCCTTGGAAAATGTCAGAGGACAGGTAAATAGTAACTGTTTTCTTGGAAAGACTTCATTAACATTATTAATAACTTTTATTTACCATAGATAATTTTGATAACTTATGGTCTCCAAAATAATTTAACAGGAGAACCAGACAAAAAATATTATTGAATTTATTGAGAAATAGAGAATTTTCTACATATCTTGAAAATATGTCAGTAAAATAAAGTGTAGAAAGGTAGATGTATTGGAAATTTATATCATTCTGCTTCAAAGGTTTTGCACGGAAATGTAGATGTGGTATTAGATGTAAGAGATTCGCCAAGGAATGAAATATTTGTCTTTGGTTTGCATATTTTTTTTATTTTAACATACATGGTTATAAGGATAAAGATGATAAACATGGAGACCTTTTACATTTGAAGATAAATGTAAATTGCAGCAACAACAACTTCTTCAACAATAAGAGAACTCTTGATTATCATTTTTGATTTCTATCTATATATCCGAATTCGAATTAAAAAATTCATATCTCATTCTTATTTTTAAACTTGTTACTATTGTAAAAAAATTTTATATAAATGACTATAACGGGTATATTAATGCCACAATAATCCATAAATTCAGGATTTGGTTTTCCCTTTGGTGTTTTTTCATAGGAGTTATTAATAAAGACCAAGTCAGCATGTTTACTTAATATTAATGGATAAAATTTTCTCTTTATTAGAGTGCCCAAAATCAATTATATTAAGATCGACATAATTTAATTAAAAAAAAAAATCAATAATTAGTTTTTTTTCTTTCAACATCATCAATTCACTCACTAATAATAATAAAATGACAGAAATAATTTCCAATGCTTCAAATGGTTCCTCTTCTCAAAACCCAACTTTACCCACAGAAGTAGCATCATCATCAACTATTAAACCAACTTTACGTCGTAATCGTCCAGGAACTAAATTTGAAGTAAATTTAATAAACATACATATTGAATATATTGAATATAAGTTAAATATATGCATATATAAATATAGGACGCTTATCAATTTCCACATTTACCGTTGGATCAAATTGATACAGCTTTTGCATTACAAGAGTATTTACAGTCTTTATTACGAAATCATAAAGATGATTTAGACTTATTAGTGAAATTACCAGCTGGTCAAAGTGAAGAAGCGTGGCAATATGAACATCTAAGGTAAAATAAACTGATGATGATAACAATAGTTTTTTATTCGATTTTTTAATAATAATAAATTTCTCCTAGACAATTATGCCTTGAACTTAATTATTTGGTAGTACAACTTGAACCAGAATGTAATAAGCAAACATGCCCTGAAATGAAAGCAGACGAATGGATGTATAGATGTGCTGCTCATTTAGCACCAATGAATGTAATAATAATAAATCAAATTAATTATTTTTATATTTATCTATTTGTGAATACATATATATATCATTTTTTATTTTTATTGATATTTTTTTTTTGAAATATTCATTATTAGTGTTGTGCAATTGATTATATTGTTCATACATTGGATGGAGCTACAAATTTATTGAATAGTCATAAATCTTTTCCTAGCAGGTTAGTTGGGAGAAATAATAAAATTGTTATTAGCATTCAGTTAAATTTATATTTAATATTATTTATTACATTTAATTGATTATTGTTAATAATTGTTATTATTGTTATTATTTATGTAGATTGTCAATTCCAGATACTTCAGTAAAACATTATCAGTCTATTGCTAGAAGATTATACAGAATATTTGCACATGCATGGTTTCATCATAGAGAAATATTTAAAGAATTTGAGGTAATTTTTAATTTTGAGTGGAGGTTATTTTTTTCCTGAATTAACATTTTTTTCTTATCTACTTATCTATATATATATATCTATATTTATATAGAATGAAACTTTACTATATTCAAGGTTTTTAAAACTTTCTAAAGTTTATAATCTTGTATCAAAAAATTTAATAATTATTCCTTACAATAATAATGATGATGATGATAGTGGTAAAAATGATATTAATAACAGTAATGACGACAGTGATAATGATGACAACAATAATGATGACAACAATGATGATGATGATAATGATGATGGTGATGATGATGATGACAAGAACAATGATAAAAACAACAGTAGCACTACGAGTAAAAAAGAGTCTATTGAAAAGTCAGATACATCATCATAATAATGCAAAAAAATATTTAATCAATTAATTCATTTAATATATTTATTTAATTATTTACTTAATATTAATATAATTTTTTTAAAAAAAATCTGGTTCAATTTCATTTCATTCTGGATACTCATAATAATTTATTCTTAATGCATAGATCTTCATTCATCTAATACTTCCCACATTAATTTGTTATTCAATTAGTTGGAGAAAGAAAAAGATAACTTGTTCATAACTTCTTATACTAGCATACTTCCCCCTTAAAATTAAGTGCTGGCAACTTTATAAATAAATATGACCATTCATTCATCTACTTGCTATCTTATAATAATTTAACAACCACCACCATCACCCTTATTCATTACACTCATTAACATTAACCTAGTAGGGTATATTCACAAATCTGCAAGATTGTATAATTTCACTTTTATTTGATGCTGCTGAAATATTGTAATAATTTCACTTGATTCTTTTGTTATTTCTTGGTAATTTCTTTTGATAAAAAATTACAAGTAACTTCATGTATGGTATGAGATATTCCTTTAAATCTCGATATCTATAAAATATCTGTGAATGACAACTGGTCACCTTATCAAGTTGTTTTCCCACCCGATCATTATATGAAGTAGACCTCTCTTTCTCTTTCCAAAAAAATGTATTTTAATATCATTATTTAATAATAGTAGTAGTAGTAGAAGTTATATTAGTAGTAATAATTATCATGAAATGTATAACTTGCTGGTCGCAACTATTTCTTGGTAATAAAGATCACAATTATTTTTATAATTAAATCACATTCTTTATTAGCATTTAATTGGGGTGCTTTATTAGGTTGGTCTGCCATGGAATCGATTTATTTGTTACACTTCCACTTTATGGAGCTGGTGTATTTTGGACTTTAACATATGATACAATTTATGCACATCAGATAATATATATTTATTTGTTCCTAAAAACCAAGACTATTTCCATAATAATAATAATAATAATATAGAACAAAAGATTTTGAGCTGCATGATTTCTTATTTAATAATAATTCAAGGATATGGCTATCATTATTTTCAAGACCAATAATTTCTTGTTTAATTTTAAAGTGGTTACATGAATTATCAAGGCTTTACCCTATTATTTATTATAATGTATGGGTGCTAATATGCATTTAATTTAGTAATTGAAAACTGTAGGTTTTGATAACATTATTTATTGTGGAAAAAATTTAAAAGTAATAAATGGCTAGGAATAATAATGTTGGGTAGCATTATTTCTGACAGAATCAATTATAATAATAATAATAATAATAAGACAATTTATATTATTATTTTATTGATTTTTAAAAAAATAATTAAACTTTGGATTCTAAAGCTCCTCACGAGCTGGCTCATGTGAAGCCTTATTTAATTCCTATAAATTTTATCCTTTTTTCTTGATTTATGATCCGTAAAATTTCCATTACCATTCCATTCTTTTTAGCTTTCATTTCACTAATCTCAATTTAAATAATTGTTGGAAATTAAAGCATTTGTTTATCATTATCATCATTATGATTCTTTTTACTATTAAAATCTTTCACCTCCTTATTATTGTTGTTACCATTAACCAATTAAAAGTTGTAATCTTTCATTTGCAACATTTTTTTAAATATTCTGCTTTAGTTCATCATCTAATACATCATTTTCATCTTCTTCAAGATTACTATTATTATTATTTATTTTCTCTCGAATTAGAAAATAATCTTGTCCAATTCCATTCAGATGATGGTGAAGGTCTACATGATGAAAAATTTTATTTGATGTGTTAGAATTGTTGAAAAAATATGATCAAACAAATAAGGTTGTGCATGAAATGATTTGTATGAAAAGTCATTAAAGATTGATCTAATCCATGTTGCTTAATATGGAACTCTGTCAATTTTCATCACTCCATTCTTCACTCAATTCTTCATCTTCTAATAAATTGTTGTTAATATTAATATTATCTTTATTTTTTGATAGAAAGAATTCATTTCTAAATAAATCAACAGTTTCATTATTATTATTATTGCTGCTGCCGCTGATGTTGTCATCTTCTCCTACATGATGGTGGTGATGATGAATTTGATTATTCCATTTATTAAAAGTTTCATTAGCACCATACTCTTCATAATTATTCACAGTTGTTATACTAAAAGAAGAATCTATTAATGACAACGAAAATTTTCTTGATTCCTGTTCAGTTGATACAATGATGCCAGTATTAGGTCTCTTTCAGACATGGTAGCATCTTAAAAAAACTTATTTGGAAGTTGTGATATTGGTTTGTTGACTTTGGAATTTTCAAAAATACTATCATAATTATTGCTAGAACATAATAATGGCATTGTGGTTGAAATGTTATTCTTCAAAAAACGAAATTTGTATCTACGTACATTATGTATTTATACTTAATGTTTATTTTTATTTTTGAATCAACATAAAACAAATTAGGCCCCTTTAAAATAAAGCAAAGAAAATCAAAAGGAATCGATTGGTTGATTAAATTATATGAATATTTGGTCAAAAAAAGTAGAGAATTAAAAAAGATTACTAACTGTTTTGTCCCATCCAGTTACCATGGTTC